GAGAGAGAGAGAGAGAGAGAGAGAGAGAGAGAGAGAAAGAGAGAGAGATTTAACTTTGATTTGTTAGTGTTAAAAAGGCACACCCACAGGTTTCAGAAGAAAGGGAATACGTAGTTTGGCATAGGGATGTTTGAGTAAATAAATACATTATTCAAGCTCTCTGTGTACATGTTATTTTATAATCTATTTATTCGTTAAGGAAATTGTACGTCCCTCCCTGTTTGTGCCGTTTGAGGCTTGGGTCAATGACCGGCAACGAGTTCCTTCACTAAGTTTGAACAGAAAAAAGGTTTGACAGGCGTTTCTGAAGAGGTACTTTTGATATAATTTTATAAGTGCCATGTGCTTGTAATCTAAAATTTCGCTCCAGAGCTATGCATAGATTGATATAATTTGTTGTTTAAAGCAAGGATCGTAACAGCAGTTTTTTAAATTGCGAACATATAAAAAATGGCTACCTTTCTTTGGACAACCCCGAGCTATAGCAACATGCACAGCTTTTCTCAGTTTTCTCTCAAGAATAAAGCACTTTACTATCGTCAAAGTACGTTCACATATTTCACAAGCAACTGCTTAAAACAAATTGATAAATCAACTGCCAACAGTACAAAACAACATTTATGAAAACAGGGGACAGACACGACATCTGCCACTAACCTTCCGGACGTCAACGCCCATGTTCTCGAGCAGCTCGTCAGCTGACCGGTAGCCGTGGAAGTGCTGGTCACTGTCATCCGCTCCCGGGACTGTGATGAGCTTCCTCTGGGGCGCCGGTTTCTCGCACAAGGTAACGAAGTCTGTGATGGTCACCAGGCCCTTCTTGGCCTGTAGGATGCCCCACATCTGCTGGGCAGTGGCGCTGACCTGCCGCGGACCCCGCTTGCCTTTGGCCGGGGTTTGATTCCCAGGTGGAGGCGCAGACAGGTTTCCTACGTGTTGCGCTTCTATGGCCTCGTCTTCGATGTCGATGAGTTTGTCCCCGTGGGACTTTGACTGACGCATGCTACGACCGCCGCCGCTGCCTCCGTTCTGCTCGAAGGCGTAGCTGTTGGGGCGTGCCCTACGTGGATCCCCACCGTCGTAGGAGGGGCTTAAAGGGGAGGCAGGGGCGGGCTTGAGGGGGTAGTGTGAGGTGGGCGGGACCGGTTCATCCATGATGTTGGGGTTACCTCGCGGCAGTTTGGCCTTGAGAACACTGTCAATATCGTCCACCTCGCCAATCATGCCTGACCTCTGACCCTGATACTGCTTTCTCTGTTTCTGCTGTGCTTGTTGGGCCTGTGCCGGGTCCGGTTTGCCATTCCATTCGGCTCCTGGGCTGGGCACGATGTCGGGCAGCGTCCCCTGACTAGCCAGCGATTGCTGGGACATGGACTGCGACATGCGCTGCTTCCCCCCGTCCTCGTCAGCTGTAACTCCCAGCTGTGAGGGCCTCTGTCTCGCGGAGTTACGACCCCTGTCATCCAGCACATCTTCGCGGGAGTTCTGCCGACTGTGTCGTCCTCCATGTTTGCTGTTCCGTCGGTTGGGCGAGTCCTCTCGGTTGAAGCCAAACTGAGAGCCGTTGCTGTCGCTGATCTCGTCCATTTGGTCTCGCTTCGGGCGACGTCTCTCTTCTAGAAGTGAATCTCGTGAGCCGTCACGGCTCAGCCGCTTGTGATCCTCCGAGGCGTTGCGAGGGCCGCTGTGGCGATGCCTGTTGGGGGACTCATCCCTTGAAAAAGCCTCGGAGGAACTGCCCGACTTCCTTCCCCTGGCACCGTGCGCCGGCTCGTGTCCGTCTGACCGCCGGGAACGTCGCCTCATCTCTCCGGGCGAAGGTTCTCTCTCGAAAGCGTCCGAGTCATCGTAGAAGTCTGCCTTGTTCAGCTCCGACTTGCGGAAGTCCTTGTTGGGCAGTCTGGGATCGCGCTCGTCGTCGTCCAGGATGCTATCGTTGGAGCCTTGTCGCGAGGCATGTCGGGAGCCCCTGTGTTTAGAGCGTCGGGAGGAGGGTGAATTGTCTCTTGAGTGAGCCGGCGGGGACTCCTCCCTTTGGCTATACTGACGGGATACTCGTGACCCTCGCCTCGCATCCTCGTACTCCGCTCTGCTCTCTGCCCCAACCCCGGGGTGACGCTTGGAGTGACGACCGTCTGGAGACATGGGCTCTGGTGGGGGCAGTTTCTGCTTCCACTGGTGCACCTTTTCGATGCTGTCCCGTAGAGACAACGTTTCTGGGGTCAAAGGTGTCTTATCGCCCCCGTCAGGTTCCCTCTCGTCCAACAGCTCCTTGCTAGAGTGACGTTTCCTCCGCGGTTTTTCGTCCAGCATGTCCTCACGAGAACTAGACCTGGACGCCTTGGACCTCCGAGATGAACGTTTGTCGTCTTCCACGTCCCGGTCTCTGAGGGTGGAGGGTGTGCTGGTCCTAGCTCCGCCCTCCCGTCTGCGCCGGCTGTGCCGACTGCTCCTGTCGTCTGTATCACTCTCCTCCTCCTCCTCCATGCTCTCCCTTCGTGCCCGAGGCGTCGTTGGAGGCTCGCCGTATACAGACTGTCGCCACGAGCGCTCGTTGGGCGGTGTGCTCACGGCCTCGTCCGCGTAACTCCGACGCGCGTCGTCTTTGAGCGTGGAGCGGGAAGAGTTTCTCGACAGCGGCGTGGACGGTTTACTGTAGCTGGTGGAAGAGCCGCTACTCTTTCCATACCCGCTGTGCGTGGGGGTTGGAGCCCCTAGGACTTTGTCTCTGTACTTGTAGTACGTCTCACCTGGCTGGTTAGGAGTTGGCGCGAAACTGGAGCTGGAGGAAGTTCTCTGTCTCCGCCGCTCGGGCTGGTCGAGATTGGTCTGTGTGGCGCAGTCCACCGTCCCTTTGTCGCCGCCTCCTCGCTTGCCGCTTCTCTCACTCTTTATCGTAGTTTTGTCGGGGACTCTGATCCTCCGGGTCCTCGAAATACTAGCTTTGTCCTTCACCTTGGGTTCTCTGGCTTCACCCTCCGGCACTGGTGAAGTCCCCCGGCAGATCAGAAACTTTACCGACTGGTCTCTCTTCTCTGCCTCGGGCGCGCTATCGTCCGACTCACTGCTCACTGACAGCGCACGGCGCCCTCGTTTGCTTCCCTCCTCCCTCCGCGGGACAGGTAAACCCGGGCTCTTGCCTGCTCCTCCCCCGCCCCCGCTAGCTGACGAGCGGCGCGCGTCTCCGCGCTCACCCCCCGTCGTGCTCTGTTCGTACCCACGTGAGTTCTGTCGCTCATACGCACGCGCGGCCGCGGGTTTAGGTACGGGAGAGGCGTCAGATCCGCTTTTGTAACTGGAGTAGGTCGAATAGGGTCCTGACGCGCTGCTGCTATAGTCATAACGAGAGGAGCGAGTGGACACTGGCGATCCCTCGCGACTTCCAGCGCCGTAACGACTGTTGGAGCTACGTGTAGAGGCTCTGTCCCAGGACCCGTAGGGACTGCCGCCCCCGTAGTCGGACATGTAGCCACTGCGCGAAGAGTAGCGGTCAAGGCTTGGGTATCTGTCCACACTCTGGTATCTGTCGGCTCCGTAACCGGACGCAGTGCCGTATTTGCTGCTGTCCCCGGTGCCAAACTTTTTGATGGTGTCGCTCACACTGGAGGATCTGTACTTGGGAGGGTCATAGCTGCTGGTGCGGTTGTAGGGAGGTCGGGAGGAGGAGGAGGGAGTGTAGCCCCGCGAAGAGGAGGCGCCGTAGGGGGAGGAGGAGGAGGTGTAATTTTTTCCGGTGCCCATTTCATAGAGCTGTGGAAGAGAGGAGGATAGAAATATCGTAAATGCAAGTGAGGGGTATTGGCGTAAAGGTCGTGAGAGCAAAGATATATAAATAAATAGATAGATAGATAGATAGATAGATAGATAGATAGATAGATAGATAGATAGATA